CGGGCATTTTGTACTCTCTCCAGTTTCGCTCGCATCAAGAGATCAAGATGGCAGCTCGTCGAGCTCAACGATCGACATCTACGATCTCACGAAAAAATAGGAGACTGTGAACAGTCTAATATATCTGATTTTCTTAAATTTTCTTAATATATACTTGCACAATGTCAGAACGGTCGTTATATTTTTTATTAATAAGCAGGTGACTAATGACGATTAAAATCTTAATTCTCGTCTGAATATATGTGGATATTAAGAATTGAAAAACTGATCACTGTGGGGAGTGGGGGGGCATTATTAAAAATCAATTTGATTTGTATGCGATTATTTCACGAGAACAGGGATTTGAAATATCATAGGGAACTTTCGCAGAATTAAATTCTCTTAACTAGTTCTAAAGTAATCGTAAGTGGACGAGAAAGGAGAATTTGTATGTAGATATGACGTCGTAAACAAGAAGTTCTGGGATAATGGGGTTAAGCCTAGTCATTCAATCAACTGGAGTGTAAACAGCGTGGAAACCAGCCAAGTATTTGAAACACAACCGGTTTTAGTTGATCTGTCTCGGTGATCTTGATAGCGATTGTCTGGAAAAAGTCAATCAAATCCATCCCATTTGATAGCGATTAAAAATGTTGATTAACCAATCCAAACGAAAACGGTCTTTAGCCAATAGAAACGATTAAAAGCCCAACCAACTAAGAACTAAACCGATTGATTCTAGCAACATGAAACCTTGAGATAATTTTTCTTTTCTTTTTTGTTATAAACAGTTACTGTTATGGCTACTGACAGGCTAGTTTTTAAGCGAGTTTAGTTTGTAATGTACTTGAGTCCTCTAATAGGTGACTCGTACTAAAAAGTTACAAAGTGTTGATTTTGACTAGCCAGCCCCTTTTATTGAGGAACAAATTGTTTAAAATATTTTATTAGACAAGGGTATTTTGAGTATTTTCTTGAAATGTATCATCNTGTTGATTTTGACTAGCCAGCCCCTTTTATTGAGGAACAAATTGTTTAAAATATTTTATTAGACAAGGGTATTTTGAGTATTTTCTTGAAATGTATCATCTTGCAAGACATGGTGTATAAAAATTGTTCAATATTGATGATGAAATAAATTTGAAGTGATGATGTGTTGCGACTTCGTCTGTTAGTGGAATATGCAGAATTTTTTCGTTTTATCTAGGGCGCTTTCCATTCAACTGAAAATTTCGAAAAGGGGACAAATGGTAAATGTAAAAGAAAATGTAAATCTTATTTATAGTGGTCATGCACTTAGCTATACAAGCACTAAACTTAGCTAGTTTACAGGCATGCCACTGAAACAAAGGAAACAAATGTCTCAAACACTTAACAAAGTTAAAAATCCTAACTGGCAGGAGGCAGACCAGTTGGCTATTTACAAAGCGTGACCAAGGATTTGAACTCGGGACTACCGAGAAACAAATCCCGCTAGTGGCAGGGTGGAGGCCTTGAACCTGGGACCTCCGGATTACAATACCAGCGCCCTAAACCACTCGGCCACGCTGCTTCCAGGGTAAGGAATTTTCCTTGGGAAATTTTCCGGAAGATCCGAAAATTGTTGAATTTCCGAAGGGCGAACTTTTCAACCGAAAAATTTTGGAAATTCCAGGAGGAATGGCAATTAGAACGGTAATTCCAGGTAAGAAATTTTCGAAAATTTCAGTATTCTTTCCAAGGTTTTCTTCAATTCCGGAAATTGCTGAAAGTGTTGTTCCATTCCTGACTGGAAATTTTCGTAAATTATTAAAAGCCGAAATTTTTCATCAAATGGAAGGCGCCGCTAATCTTTTTTTTGTGTGTGGTGTGGAGTGGACCACATGACACTTTGAGGTCACAGGCGTCATTCTGTTTTTAAGATTAATAATTTTAAACATTCGAATACTTTATAGGTCTTTATACTGGCGGGAAAGGCAAGGCTGCTTGGAGCATGGTTCGTGCGGAGTCATGGGATCGCCTTGTGGATCCACAGCTACTTTGACAACGTTATTCACGAAATTTATCGTCAATAACAGGACAGACCCATGAAAATCGTTAAAAATCACTGATGTAGACAATTTTCCTCAGTTTGTTGTCTAGCATACGAAACGTCAAGTTCAGTATTTATAAAAAGCGACGGAGTACAATTTTCGTTTCGTTCCGTTTCGTTGACCTCGTGTCGTTTGGTTTCGCAAAAGGATGCGCGGTCACTCAGCATTAGTAGTTACCAATCTCCACGACCTCTGGCACTTCAAGATGGCGACCTCCGTACAGTTCTAATTTCGGTCTCGTCTCGTGTGCTGGAAGTCTGCTGAGAGTCGGAGAGTGCTTTTAAGGTACGAAGATCTTGGTTTTCGAAATTTATTTTATTATTGTGATAGTCATGTCAGACTGCATATATTGTACACGTATTCGTTATTTCTTCATTCTTCTACTAGTAGGGCTACTAGTAGTAGCAATCAAAGATTTCGAGAGTGCGTTCGACGGCGTCACTTCAATATATCTCTGACCTTAAATGATTTCACTAGTCGACTTTCAACATCTGTCTATTGTCAAAATCAACATTTTTCATCAACAACCGAGGTTTTGCAGACAGATAGATCATAATGTCAAAGTCCATGCTAGTGACGAGGTCCCTTGTAAACTACGATTTGTTGATACGTTGCGTGACGGCGCCAGTTTTCGTAGACTCACAAGTTTAATAGAACTAAAATCTTCTAATTTCCTGCTATTTTCGCATTAATTGGTAGTTTTTAAGGGTAAAAGCTAATTTGTAAAGGTACATTTTGTCAGTTACATTATTCTAAGCAGGAAGCACAAATATAAGCCAACATTTGCAGTCACATACTCGTTTATTATAAACAAACTTTGTGCGACTGATTCGGATATTTTCCTTGACGAGTAAAAGTAGAGAGTATTTACATTGTCGTTCCTTTGTTCAGGTTAACTCTTATGGATCTTGCCTTCAGAGTACTTTTCCACCGATTCCAAACAATATTCGACCAGATAAACACTGAACTATCTGTCGCAACTGGAAATAATCAACAAATGCAATCAAACTACAGCCAATGAAATATAACTGTTCCCACAGTTAACATCCCAAAGCTAAGGCGACTCAAAGTCGTGTTCGTGAACACATAAAATAACTAATTGTCCTGGTCATGTCACAAAAGCACATCATCTCGCATCCTAATGAAACAAGCCATGTTTGCGTTGATTTGTACGGCACAGAATCATAACTGCAAACGAGCGAATAATTGAGAAATTTAAAACTGACTCGTAAGCAGATGCTTTGCGATGATGTCATTTATTTTTGGCTCTGTGGCATTCTGCAGGGTGGCCGATTTGTGTCCCAAGATGTATCGCTCCATCCTTTGTCCCAAAAAATCTCACTCTAGTCTGTATTAGGACGGCGTTCTTTTTTTGTCAAATGCAATAGACTTAAGGAAAATTACTGTTAATTAAAAATATCTGCTCGGTTAAATCATAGGTAAGGGAGAGGAGTAGTATTGAAGCTGGGCAAACTTCAAAGGAACGAAAAAGAAACCAATATTTTTGTTGGAAGATCCGTGACTGTGTACAACCTTTCATTTGGGCTCATACGCTATATGATATGCGTAACTGAAGAGTTTCTATTATGTAGTTCCTTGGACTGAGGTACAAAGCCTCTGAGTTTTTAGCACTGTCAAGACAAAAAGGGAGCGAAAAATTCAACAAAGAAGTTTTTCATAAGAATTCCCTATATTTGTAACATATTGTACTTGGTCCAGGGTGTATTCCGCTAGACTTTGACGCTAACCAAGACTTTAAATTCCATGCCACGCACCTGGCAAGTGACCAAAGTCCCACAACTCAGAATGCTATTCAACGCNCATTTTGAAATCACTTGTGATCCTCACAATCTGATTGGCTCTCAAGAGTGCGATTTATTCTCGAATCGCACTATTTTTGTGCTCTAAATAGCTCTAAATCGCATCTTTTTCCCAGCCAATGAGAGTGGAACACTAAAAAAACAACCTATCAGATTTCAAGGCTAGAAATCAATTACAGGAAAGCCAGAGCAATTTATTCACGAATCACGCTATTTTGTGTCGTAAATTGCATCTTTTTGTGTTTTGCATACAAAATGAGAGGTAAAAGCGTTTCTGGTTCTGCTTTTAACAAACCGGCTACTGGATCAATAAAATATTGGTACTGACCGAGGCGATTAAAAATGGTTGTAATAACGTGGCAATTGAACTTCGTGTCATGCAATTTGTCGCGCTGCGCGCTCGTTCAATTTTGAAATCACGCGTATGATTTGAGACCAAATTGCACCCCAGTCAGTTCAATTACCATTAAGGTGGCCGAACACAGTTTTCAAGAACTATTTATGCTTTGGCGCCCGTTTTTTGCAAGAGTCAAGGTTAACCACAGAAGGGTTTATTCTCGCATTTTGGCCAAGGTGTGGCTGTTGCCATGGCAACGGGGCTGGTTAAAAACAAGGCTTAAAAAATGGTTTTTGTTTATTTAAAAAAAATACAGTCGTTAGATTTTTTCATCAGTTGCCCACTACAAATTGACATTAAATCCCTTCTTTCAACACTGTTCTAATAAATTTTGACATAGACGATTTTCGTAATTCGCCGCAAATCGTTTTCTCTGCATGTCCTGTATGATTGAAAATTCCCTATGTCAAAATTCAGACTTTTTGTGATAGATCATTCATGTGGTTTCTGAACTGCGTTTTTTTTTGGCCAAATTTCTTGAAATTTTAACGACTGGATCGTTAGAAATCGGCAAGTTTATGCAAAAGCAATCGGTCAAAATGTTTTGAGTAACTGCGCATGCGCTGCATTTAACTGGGGTCTTTTGGTAACAAAGAAAAAGCTGAGAATTGCTGGGTTCTTTGCATCGTTACCTTTTCTAACATATCTTTGTAATAAAAGACTAAAGCCATCACTACACTGCGTTAAATGTAGAGAAAAATAGCACAGATACTGTGGGTGTTGAGTAAATAAAATGATCGCTCTATTGACGGCATGTTTGTTTTTTTGCAATCTTTGTGCATGCGCTGAATTGCATCAGCAAAAGCGCGTGCAAAAATTGTGTTCGGCCACCTTAAAGCAATAGGATTTTGCTTCACCATGTGCAGTATCAGTAATTTCAATGGCATTGAAAATGACGGATGCTGTCTTCGGTCTTCTCTAATAGTGCCCTTTTAAAGTACCTTGCATGCCTGCCTGGTGATTTAAGGCATAATAAAGTCTTGATAAACCCGTAAGTCATTAACACGTTTTAAGGAAGCGTTGACTGCCATCTTTTGCCGCTCCTGAGTTGAAGAGACCCTCACCAGCATGCGTCGTGATTACGTTCAATGGACGTCTTGTGGCCTGGTAAACAGGAGCTTTTTTTGAAGTTATTGTCACAGCGAGTCCCACAGATAATGGCCAACAAGAAGCGATCAATTATAACAGCGATTTTATTTCAAATCAGCATGACTTGTAATGTGTCTAACTTCAGGGATCATGGGACAGAACCCTAACCTCAAGAGCTTTGTAAAAGCAACATTTTGCTCTTCCTTAAGTGAAATGGGCATCTCTTCTCACTGACTGTCACATTTTCTTGTGAAATCAAAATTTCACTGTTTCTTAAGTGAAAAACACATCTCTGCGGGCGCATGCTGACGTGAAGTCAACATCTTATTGTTCTTTAAGTGAAATCAACATCTCTCAGCTTTCATGTTGATGTGAAATGGACATTTTACTGTTTCTCAAGGAAAAAAAGCATCTTTGAGGTCACCCATTGACGTGAAACCAACATGTTAGTGTTTTTTTTCAGTGAAATGAACATCTCTGAGCTTTCTTGTTGACATGAAATCAACATTTTATTCTTTTTCTGAAATGAGCAACTCTGTGGTTACACATTCTCGTGAAATTAACATTTTACAGTTTTTTTCCTTGTGAAGTCAACATTTTATTGTTCTGTACGTGAAATGAACATCTCTGCGGTCAGGTATTCTCATGAAATAAACATTTTATTTTTTTAAGCGAAAAAAGCATCTTTGAAGTTGCCTGTTGATGTGAAATCAACATTTTGCCATATTTTGAAGTGAAGACAAAATTATTGCCCTCAAAACTTAAAGTGAGACAAACTGCTTTGTTTTGTTGTGCCACAGAAACTTGCTTTGAGCTTTTTTCTGGCAATCCAGAGTGAAAAAAGCAAAATACAGTTGAACCTGTATATAACGGCCCTGCATTAAGTGGTCACCCTCTATTAAGAGGCCAGTTTTTAGGCCACCGATTTTTCACTTCTGCAAACGCTGTATTTGTTACCTGTATTAGGCGGTTGCCCCTATTAAGCGGCTGCAGCCATCCCATAGCAATCCTATGTTTGTCTTTCTTTGTCATTTTTACCTGCATTAAGTAGCCACCCTTGAACAGAAACTAAGCAACATGTCATTTTATGTGGTATTTTATTATGTTTACATTGTAAAATGCAATCCATTGTCACTATAAACTAATACAGATATGGATTTTGCTGTGAACTGTAAGTCGTAGAAATTCAGTACTGTATACTGTAGAAGAGTAGAGGACAATTTATTGCGCAGTACTTTTACAATTTTACATGTACATATATTTTTCCATTAAGTTACAAGTTGGCACTGAACTTTGTTTGAAGTATTGATTACCTGAAAGAGTGTTGATTGTCCTATTTTTTCCTTACATGAAGTGTTTTTGTATGATACGCCATTAAAATTGACATTAGACCACGCCCAGTGAGTATTTTTAGTGATCCTGTATTAAGCGGCCACCTGTAATAAGCAGCCATTTCCGAGGGTGGCTGTTATTTACAGGTTCGACTGTATAACCTAAAATTCAACATTAGCCAGATATGCCTACGGCCCATCAATTGATTCATGTCAACACCATACATATCTTATTTTCATCATTAAACATCAGGCCTTGAATAAGCACTGCCCCACAAGGTAGACATGAGATTCAAATGAATGCCCCTGATGTCTATTGAAAGTCCTTGCACCTGTTTGAAGTCTGACCATGAAGAAAAAGTCACATAATTTTTTAAGGTTTGCTAATCATTTTACAATCTTTTAACTCATTGCTGTAGCATGCCACAATTTAAAGGAGCTGATAACATACTATTCTGTACAAACTTAAGAAAGTTGGCCCATCATGCTTTAGAGTCCATCGAGTACAAAATTCTAATAGCAACTTGTTTGAAATGTTATTGACTACAGACAAAGTCAGTAACAGTATTGTCTTGTTTTGTTGGTATTCAAGTTAAATCTTACTTTAATTTCATTTAGTTGAGGTATTTATGACACAAATATATAGTT